GGTGCTTGGGACGCTCGCAGAATCCTCGAATGGCTGGAACTGGGAGCTTTGGGAGGATGCTGAGGGAGAAGAAGCCACGACGTTGATCCATGCAGGGTCCTGAGTGCCGGCAGTGCCCCACATCAGCCCCTGGGGCAGTTCCGCAGGATCCGCCGCAGCTTTTCCACCCGAACCGCGGGGCAGAACCCCCTGCGCTGCCCTGGGAGAGGAAAATCCGCAGGGAAAGGTGCGGGTCCGTCCCCGCCGCTGTGAGCAGGAGGCTGGGACACCGCCCGGCCTCGCCGCTGGGTCGGGGCTCCATCCCCGGGGCCGGGCCGGCTGCGCGGAGCCGGCGCAGGGATGGCGTTCCCAGCGGGATTTTTAAGGCAATAGTGCCACCCCGTGCACCGGCGGCAGGGTGACACGCAGGGAAGGCGGGCAGGGAGGCGGCGGTGGTGGCACTGCGGACCCACACCCGGGAGCGGGGATGCATCCATGGAAAACCATGGAAAAGGGCGGCTCGATGCCGCCGCAGCTGGGATCCTGCAGGGGACAGAAATGTCTGCGGTTCGGAGGGACACCGGGAGAGCTGGAGAATCATGGGATGTGCAGAAATCGCGTCCAACTCCAGCTGCTAACGGGAGTTTTGTGCTGGTTTGTTCTTTTCCCAGTTTTTCCGGTGCCTGCAGTGCCTGGGCAGCTGAGTCCCCTCTCTGCTCCGTGTGCTGCCCTGCAGGGAGATGTGGGGACGGCCACGGCCCTGGTCCATCAGTGACCCTGCGGGAGGAGCCCCGTGTCCTTTTCTCTGACCCCGAGACGGACCGGCACCACCCGGAGAAACTCCCTGTGCGTGTCTGGGACCATTTCATTGTCACAGCTTGTGGCCTTAGGAGGGCGGGGGGAAGCAATTATTTTGTGCGTGGGTGGTGGTGGGTGTCTCCCCAGCACCCCAGAGAGCACAGAGAGCCCAGTGGGTGTCCCTGGCACCCCGGGGGAGCCTCCAGGTGCTGCTCGGCTCTGGGAAACGAGCACCCAGGAGGAGGGAGCAGAGCTCTGTCCCTGGTTCCAGCTCCCCGGGATTTCCCAGCCCAGCAGATTTCAATCCTTCATCACATCCCAGCTCCCTCTGCAGCCACGTACCCCACATTGCTTCAGGTGTCAAATAGGGACAAGAAGCTTTTGGGACATTTTAGGGTCATGTTTTGCTGTTTTAGTTCCTCCCTAAGTGTGCACACACCGAAGGGCACAAGAACAAATCCACACACCCTGTGTGCCCCACTGAGACTGTTGGAAAAGCATCCCCCCACCCTACAGGGTCCATATGGGATCCTCAGGCTGGAGGAGGATTTATTGGACAGAGGGAGGAAGGGAGGGATCTCCACTGAGCTGGAGATGCAGCCACTTCCCTCTCTTGGATTCCAAAGGCTAATCTTTAGGGAATTACAGACATAAACCTCTTAGCTGGCGTGCTGTCAGTGCCCATTGCTGATGAGCTGATTGAAATCGAGTGGAAAAGATTAAATTTGTCCCCCAAAACGTACCCCAGGAGCTGCAGGGGATGGAGAGGAGATGCTCCTTGCTGGCTTTGCTCTTCCCTGTCTGTCTGACCAGATCTGGATGTTCCATGGAAATGTTTCCAGGCTTTGTAATCTCCACAAATTCCGTCACTGTGCTCCACGGGATTATCTGTGCCCAAGCAGCCACCTGGAGCTGGAGGAAATGGTGCCAGGAGAACCAGTTAGAGGCAACATTTCCCATAAAGGAGCCCCTGTCCCCATCCTTGGTCACTCCCCAGGGACGTTCACAATTTTGCTTTATTTAAAGTTTTGCTTTATTTAAACTGTTCAGAACTGCCGTTGCTGCTCTGGACATGAGACTTGACAAACACAGCAGGAAAACTCGGGATTTCCTGGGATTTGAGGAATACTTGCAGCTCTCCCCAGAATTTGGCCAAATGTTAGTTGGGACTCTGATGTCCACAGGGTCACATCCCTGCCCCGGGGAAGAAACAGGAGCCTGTAGAAAGACATCGCAGGAATAGAGGCTGCAGACGGGGGAATTGGGTTGAAAAAGAAGCTTTTTGAGTCACAACAAGCTTCTGGCAGGGTCTGAAATGTCACTTCACATCTGCAGCAGACACAAGGTGGCATCAGAAAGCCAAGAGCTTCCTGAGGCTGCTCTTGCCAAGGAGAAGGAGAGAGATGAGTTCCAGGTGTGCACACCTCTGGGTGCTGTGCCTCTGGTTTTCCTCAGTCCTTCAGCAATTCCCTCTCTTGTCACAGGAGGTTCTTTTCCAGGCCTTGTCCATGACCTGCAGTTGCTTCTCCTGTCAGAAAAAATCCCAGGAATTACATTAGCGGATCTTGATGCAAACTGGGAATGTGGACCAAGGCTTGTGAGGTCTCACCTTCAGAGTGGTATTTGGGCTGTAATCCCATTTTTGGGGTGATCCCACTGTGGCTGGGTGTAGGATCATCCTCCCACTGGGATCACTTTTCCTCGGGGTTTGGATGAGTTGTTGGTTTGCCTCCAAGCAGGATCCCAGTGCTGGGCCCAGCAGAGCAGAGCTCCTGCAGTGCTGACCCAGGGAGGTCAAACCACAAAGTCTCGTTAATATTTAGGAGATTCTGCCACAGAGCTGCATTAATTATCCACCCGAGATGAATTAATTACCCACCTGAGATGCATTCATTACCTTTCACAGAGGAGAGGAGATGCCTGTGGGGAAAAGCGGGGCAGAAAGTCAGGAGTGGGGCTGTGACCCAGTCCCCAAACCCAGCCTGGCCCCACATCCTCCTGCAACACCCAGGTGTACATCCAGTCCATGAATCCATACGCTTCCAATCCATCAATCCATACATTCCCAGTCCTTAAATCATACACTTCTATAACTACAGACCTCTGTGTGTGTGTGTTTAACAAGTTCTCACAAGGGGAATGCTCTGAACCTTGTGCCTCCAGCCATGAGTTTCACCCCAAAGCTGATGTGCCCCAACATCTGCCCCTTCCTCTCCAAACCAGTGCTTCCCGTTTATTTTCCAGAGGTGTTTTGGGTTCTGCCTGGAAATGGGCACGGAGAAGGCTCTGGAGAGATCTTAGAGCTTCTTCCAGTGCCTGAAGGGGCTCCAGAAGAGCTGGAGAGGGATTTGGGACAAGGGATGGAGGGACAGGACACAGGGAATGGCTGCACACTGCCAGGGGGCAGGGATGGATGAGAGATTGGGAAGGAATTCTTCCTGTGAGGGTGGGGAGTCCTGGAATAGAATTCCCAGAGAAGCTGTGGCTGCCCCTGGATCCCTGGGAGTGTCCAAGGCCAGGCTGGACAGGGCTTGGAGCAACCTGGGATGGTGGGAAGTGTCCCTGCCCATGGCAGGGAGGTAGAATAATGAGATATTTAAGGCCCCTTCTAAAGGAAACCATCCTGGGGTTCTAAGTTTTTGCACAGACACGAACATATCTATATATCTATATCTATATCTATATCTATATCTATCTATATCATCTATATCTATATCTATATCTATATCTATATCTATATCTATCTATATCATCTACATCTATATCTATATCTATATCTATATCTATCTATATCTATATCTATTACACACAGATAAAATATATGCATACCAGACATCCATAAAACTACATGGATATACATACATATATGCATATATATAATATATAAAAATAAATATATATACACAGATAAAATATATGTATATCAGACATCCATAAAACTACATGGATATACATATATATATGAATATATGAATATATAAGAATAAAAATATATACACAGATAAAATATATGTATATCAGACATCCATAAAACTACATGGATATACATACATATATGAATATATATAACATATATAAATAAATAAAAATATATACACAGATAAAATATATGCATACCAGATATCCATAAAGCTACATGCATATACATACATATATGAATATATATAATATATAAAAATAAATATATATACACAGATAAAATATATGCATACCAGATATCCATAAAGCTACATGCATATACATACATAGATGAATATATATAACATATATAAATATATATACACACATAAAATATTTGCATACCAGATATCCATAAAGCTCCATGCATATACATACATAGACGACTATCTATTATATATACATAACCGCGTGTACGCAGCAGCGCTGTCCGCTCGCGCGCTCCCGCTGTGAGCGCCCCAGAGCGGCCGCGGGCCGGCGGGCGGGCGGTGCCAGCAGAGGGCGCCGCTGCCTCGCGGCCCCGCGCCGCTGCCCCGCGGCCCCGCGCCGCTTCCCGGCATGCAGCGAGCGGCCCGGGGGCTCCGCGGGCCCGGCGGCGCCGCGGGCACAGCGCGGGGCTCCGCGGGCACAGCGCCGCGGGCACAGCGCGGGGCTCCGCGGGCACAGCGCCGCGGGCACGGCGCGGGGCTCCGCACGCCGTGCCGCGGGCACAGCGCGGGGCTCCGCGGACACAGCTCCGCGGGCACAGCGCGGGGCTCCGCGGGCACAGCGCCGCGGGCACAGCGCCGCGGGCACAGCGCGGGGCTCCGCGGGCACAGCGCGGCCCCTCCGCCAGGTAAGCGCTGCTCCCGGGGCGCCTCGACGGCACGGCATTGCTTCTTTTTCATTTCATTCTGTGGTATGTTCTTTTATTGGGTTTATTTACTTTTTTTTTTTTTTTTTTTTTTTTGGTTTTNTTATTTTTATTTTTTTATTCTTTATTGTATTCTACTTTATAATCCCTGCATGAAAGGCGCCCCGGACTTTTTTTGGGAGCAGCACCAGCCCCTCCCGGGATGGGTTTGGAGGGGACCCATCCTCCTCCTCCTTTCCCCTCCCTATCCCGGCATGGAGATGTCCCGCGGGCTGAGCGTGTCCCTGGGGCTGGGGGTGTTGGGGACTGGGATTTTTCCAGCGGGATGAACCCTGGCTGAGCCGGCAGCTGCCTTCTCGGAGGGGGCACTGGGCTTTTTTTATCCAGGTGCCCGAAGTTGGGCGAAACTCGTGCCGGTGGCCCCGGGGTGGCAGCGGCTCCTCTCCCGCCGCGCCGGGATGGTGCAACATAAATTCGGTTTAATGTGACGGCTGCCATGAAACAGCGGGCGGGGGCCGCTCTGCCCCCGCTCAAAGTTGCGTTCGAGTTTGGCAATTTGGCCCGTGGGGACAATTGGAGGTTTTGGAAGGGTTTTTGTGGGACGAGGAGAAATCCCTGCAGGGAGGGGAGCCGGGGATGGTCGGAGAGGAGGGAGCGATCCCCGGGAGCAGAGGGATGGTTTTGGCCGCCCTCGGCAGCGCCGGTGCCTCTCATGGTTCGGCCGCGGTAACTCCGCGTCTGGGATGTGAACCAGGAGAGTGGCGGCAGAGCAAAAGGACTTGGAGAAGTCAGGATGCTCTGGTCCCGCTTGCTTGGCTCTCGGGGTGCTCAGGACTCGCCATCTCTCTGGAGTTGTGTTTTGAGTTGGTTAAAAAACCTGGTTTGCACGAAAGCCCCCAGACAGAGCGGCATTAAAGAAATTTTTCCTGAGCCAGCGAGCGAAGTTGGACCCGAGCTAAAGCAAATAAACTTGCATTTCATCATGCCGGGGCTGGGTTTCTTTGTGTTCCGCTCTGCTCTGGGCGGCCTGCGCTCCCCGTCCAACCTTCACCTTCAAATGTGCCTCAGTGGGCGAGCAGAGAAACTTCTCCTTGGTGCAAACCTGGCTCCCCGCGGAGGCTGCTGCGTCCTCTGCCTCCCCCGGGCTTTTCTCCGCGTGTTTCTCGCCTGGCTCGCTGCAGGAAGGGGCTTTGCGGGCTTTCTGCTCCGGGCTGAGATGCTGCAGGCGTGGAAGGTGTGAGCACCGCTGGCCTGGCGGGGCTGTGCGGCAGCCGGAGCCCGGGGATGCTCCGGCTCCGCGGCCAGCGCCGCTCAGCTCGGGAGGGAGAGGATGCTGCAAAGGAGGGGAATGGGTAATTTTATCCCTGCTGAAAGCGGAGGGAAATGGGTAATTTTATCGCTGCTGAAAGCGGGAGGTGCTGAGGTGTTTCTCTGCCGCTCCCCCTGCTGCAGAGCTGGCCGGGTGTGGGTGCTGGAGCCCAGCTGTGTCCCAGTGATGCTGGGGATGTGCCCGTGCAAAGCAGGAGCTGAGGGGGTTTCAGACGTGCTGGTAACACATCATTGTTATGAGACTATAAATGGTCCCAGAAAAACCTTGGGCAAGAGCTTTCTCCCTGCAGTCCCAGCAATGCAGGATGATGGGCACTGTGTGTGTGCAGGAGCGATGAGGAGATGCAGTCCCGTGCCATCAAAATCAGAGAGGGGAAAGAATGGGGTATTAGCAGGGGAAAAAAAAATTAAAAATTAAAATCAAATGATGTGCTGTGCCCTGATGTGCTCTTCCAAAATAAATAAGGAAGGATGAGAGCCTGTTGATCCCTTAGCAAGGGACTGGGGGGAACCTGTGGCTTCTCTGCTGCCATGGCAGAGCAGAATCTACTGGTGAGACATAAAATCACTGTAATTCATTAAATGCATTCCATCCCCTCGCAAGAAAACAGATTAAATGTAGGTGCCAATGTCTCAAGTGTGTGTGAAATGCTGTTAGATGGGGAGAGAGGGAAGATTTTGACACATTGCACAGGTTCCATCCATTAGTCATAATATTTCCACAGCATGCCACAAGTGCACTCACATTTCTGTATAAATGGTTGCATGGGAAGCAAATTCAGAGGTGACACGAGGGAATGTGGAGAAACTCGGGTGGTTTTTTCCCCTGCAGGACTCTTTGTTGCCTAAGAGGGACCTCCATCTTCAGTCCATTTGTGGCTGGTGTAGGTGATGCTTTCTTTTTTTGTGATACATTTTTGGCTCCTTTGTACCAGTGTTCCTGCTTTGGAGTGAGGGAGGATGGAAATGCTGCGATTCCTGTTGAAGAGTTTGACATTTTGTGGCAGATAAAGCCAAGTGCAGACAGTTGCTGCGGTTTGGCTCCTTTTTCCTGAGTTTAAGAGAAAGGCAGGATGGCATTCAGGCTGGAGGTGGAGAAAGGAGGTGGCACATACATCCCTCATGTCACAGTGGCATCCAGCTCTGGTGTTTTTAGCAGGGAACAGGCTACTTCCAACTGGTTTTGTGCCCAGAAACTTGAATCAGTTGCAGCCAGTAAAAATATGAAGGTGAGGGAACATCTGCTCCCATATCACCCATGTCAGTTTTGTGGCAGCTGGGATTTGGTCGCTGGGGATCCCAAAAAGGATTTTGTGACTGTTGGGTGAGTTAGAATTGAAGGTTCACAAATGCTTCCTTCATTTCTTCTGTTTCTCTGTCTCCCCTGGGAATGAGGAAAGGGTTTCCAGTCCCACGTCAGCTTTTGTTTTTATTGTATCTATAGTTGGTCTCTGGTGGCTCCTGGAAGTGGCCAAACAGAAGTTTTGTGGTTCTTGTAGCAGGACCAGGAGAGGTCCTGGTGGTCCTTCAGATGCTTGAGGAGTGGTGGGCACTGGTGGATGGATGTCAGATGGATGTTCACATCTGCTGATTGCTCCCAGCCAGGGATGGCTCTTTCCAGACGTGCCATTTTTTGGGTTTCTTCCCCAACCATCCCCTGGATTTTCCAGGGAGGAGGTGTTGGGGTGTCCAGTTGCAGAAGGAGATGGAGCTGCTCTCTGTGTGTCACGTCCCTGCCCTTCCTGTATTCCCTTGGAAAAAGCAGAGAGTTTTCTATGGAATGTGGCCCAGGGATGCTTTTTCCTTCAGAATGAGTCTGAACTTGCCCAGTTCAGCTGCAAAACCCTCAGCTGCTTGTGTGGGCTACTTTTTAAAAACAAAAGCACTTTAAAAAACTGTTCTTTTCCCAAAAAATAGCTTTGGTGGCTGTGGCTGTCACTGAGTCACATTCCTGGTGGTTAAATAATGGCGTTGTTCCTATTAGTTAATAAGGCGATTATTATGATAGGAAATTAACAGGAAATTGTTAAACTAATTAATTCAATTCATAGGAAATGTGAATGAGCATCTGCCCTTTTCTGGGGCTGCCAGTGGCTGATCTCTGTAGGAGCTTGTGTCTGCTCCAGATATCAGAGCAGAGGCTTCCCTGGGGAGCTGGGGGACCCAGTTTGGCCATGTGGCTCCAAGGGGGACCATGTGCTGGCCAGCCAGGTGCTCAGCACGGCACGAGGAGCATCTGTGGGAGCTGGCAGCAAAGCCAGGCCGGCTTTTGACTCATCTGGCTGGGAGGTGGGAGCATGTCCTGCTGCCTAAGGAGGAGAAACTGCTTATTTCTGAAAAATGGCAGGAGGAGGAATCGCTGCCAGCGATGCGGAGGGGCTGGGAAGGAGGCAAAAAGGGTGGTGGAAATCACTCATCAGCCCCGATGCATCTCCAGCGTGGCCTTAGGAACAGATCCACCTTCAGATGGTATCAAAATGGTAAAAAGTCTGATGTCCCTGACTGCCTTGAGTGCCTCTGCCCTCATCTGCTGTGGTCTTGTCCCAGACTTCCACTGAGTCCTTGGTTTGCCAATCTGAGACTTCTTCCAAACAAAAATCAGAAAACTCGGAGAATTTCAAACAAAAGCCCAAGCAATTCTTTCTCTCACAGCTTTCATTTCACAGTTCACCTCCCTTTCTGGCTGTAATTCCTGCTGGGGCTTCTGGCTTCCTAGAGAAAAGGTAAAAAAAAAAAAAAAAAGAAAAAAGAAAGCAGGCATTTAATAATAGATCAAAAATGAGATTACGCAGTAAGTCATCCCTCCCCTTCCCAAAATGCAACCAAAGAAATTGCAAATCACCTTGAAAAAGGAAAGCAAAGCAGTGTAGATCAAACCTGATGTTAAGTATGGATGAGGTGTTTATATTTTATTTACTGGCTGTGTGTTGTCCTAGAGCAGCTGCCCTCCCCTGAATTTCTGTTTGTGATTAATGAAATAGTACAGATGAACTGGGATGGGGCAAATTCAGTGGACTTCCCCACGGGAATGCACAGGTTGGCTGCTTGGCACACCCAGAGACAGGCACAGCTGGTGCTGGCTGTAGTTGGAGGCAGCTCCCAAAAACCTGGAGGTTTGACGAGAGGCTCCTTGTCCATCCCCGATGACTCTGGACCAGTTGTGAGCACATTTGGTGGAGCAGTGGGGTCGCCAAGGGAAGGGAACCCAAAGGGCTTTTGTGCCACATGAGTGGGTGCCAGCAGAA